AGGTTGAGAAATGATAAACTTTAAACTTTATAAATAACAAAAAATGTTGATCTCCTAGTTTACTCGCACCACTTAAAGCTGATATAAAAGAGAAAATATAAATCTTACTTTGTTTTTTAATTAGCACAAATATTAATCTTCATTAAACCAACAAAAAATTCAATTAATCGAGAAGACGCATAGACGCGTACACAATTTTCCTTTCCTATTCTTAGTTTCTTTGGGAAATATATAAATATTTATATTATTCTTAATCATGTCAAAGTACGAAAAACAAATTCACCGACTCTAGGGTTTATAAATAGAGACTCATACATTGTTTTGCATTATCATGATATCTTTCAACGAACGAACCATGTCAAACTGGAAGAAGATTGCTTTGAAGAGCTCCGATCCGATGGTGAAATCTTTGAGATTGAAGAAACAACGGTGGCTCGCCAATCACAGCTCATAGTTAACATGGTCGAAGACGGCTGCGTCGGACGTAATATCTCTAGCCAACATCAACCGTAAAACCCTAACCAAAGTGATCGGAATTGCAAGAAGCACGTCGATGGTGGTGGTTTAAAAGAGGAACTAAAGACTTGGCATGCTGAATTAATGAAAAACATGGATCAGTGGACGATTTTCGATCTTATTGAAGCTGCTAAATTCTTAGACATGGAAATTCTTTTTGATCTCTCTTGTCAAACAGTTGCTGATATGTTGGCAAGTTTTAAAACTGCCAATGAGATTCGCCATTTTTTCAACTTGGAAAATGATTTCACACCAGAAAAAGAAGCAAAGATTCACGAAGAAACAAGTGGACGTTTGAGTGATGATCATGTTTGTGAGATTAGATCATTGTGTGGATGAACTCGTCTGTTTTGTTTTCACATCTTTTTATTTGAAAATTGTGTATCTTTACTTTTAGACAAGAATTAATCGATGCAAATGTTTTATGGTGCTTTTGTTTTAAATAGCATATTAGAGGAGTTTGGAGGACACTTTGGAAGAACATTTCGAGTCCTTACCAAATGTCCATTCGACTTTGGCAGCCGAGACTTGGCAATAATCAAAGCTCTCAAGAAGGCTCGAGAAAAAGAAGTGGAGAGCTTGCACGTATGTTCGGATGCACAAGTTTTGATTAACTTGCTGCGCAAACAGGAATCGAACACATAAATCCACAATTTTCTTTTCGAGATTCGAATGTACATTCGAAACAGCAAGTTTTGATTAACTTGCTGCACAGCATGTTAGCTTCTCATTTTAGAATGCTTTAATTTTTCATTTGTTTCACGAGATGCGAATATGTTGGCGGATTTGTTAGCTAAACGAGTTTTAATGGTTTGTAACTTGTCGATGGTTTCGACGTAAGAAATAAAATCTTTTAGTTTTGACTAAAACAAAAAGCATATTAGATAAGTTATATACTTTGAAAAGCAAACCAAAATATTTGAACAATTAATATACTATCGGAAGGTAAATCTTTTAGGGCGAATCAAGTCGGTGCGGTTAGACTATGGACCTAAAGTCTCAAAATCTCACTGTTTATCAAAAAAAAATATCCGTTCAGTCAACTTTGACTTTTTTATACGAAGCAGATAACACTACCGGTCTTATTGATATGAACTTGAACATGGTCCCTTTAATGTCCTCATGGTCAATGACAGACAACGAGTCTTCTTGGTCAAAGTTTATCTCCCATGGATCGGATACTTTGCTCCTCAAGGCTTTTCAAATTAGGATTTTATATAGTTACTTCTAATTACGGAGATGCTTTCAATTATGGTGACTGAACACAAATCATGTTGTAACTTTGATTAAGATTGTAAAATAGGAATTAAGTTGTAAATTCCTATTTGTATATCATAGATTCTTATGTATACGTTTAATTTGTATTTGATTCTAGATATAGTTTTTTGGGGGTCAAAATTCTGGATATAGTTTTAAGTTTTGACATCATGAATTCGAATTTTCAAACGGTTTCGCTATAGTAAATTTGTAAAGAATAATTTTCAATATGTTACTCTAAACAAATATTGAACTATCCTTTTGTGATCTATATAAAAAATGTTTTAGTTTAAAACATGAAAATTTTAAAAGATGAATCAAAACAATGTAGCTATACGAGAGACCGCAATTAAGGTAGCGAAATTGCAATTACCTTCTCATTCTACGTTGTTTATCATAATATTATACCATTGCCTATTAGGGAGCTTCTCCATGAAGAATACATTGGATTTACTATTATTTAGATAATTCAATTAATAGAGTGAGATTGACTAATTTCTTTCTTAATATAGGTGAAAATCTGAAATCACCAAATTTCCTTTTCTCTCCCATTTCTATTTTCTTAAGAAAAAGGAAACAAATTCATAATTCCTAGTTGACCAAAAAAAAAGGAAACAAATCACCAACTCTAATTTTTTTTTTTAATATAAATAGAGACGTATAGGCTCACACTTTGTTTCATTCATCAAATTATCTTTCCAACAATTTTTTCTACAACGAACAATGTCGAACTCGAAAAAGATTGTTTTGAAGAGTTCCGATGGCCAAATGTTCGAGATCGAAGAAGAGGTGGCTCTCCAATCACAAACCATAGCTCACATGGTTGAAGACGGTTGCGTCGACGCAATTCCTATTTCCAACGTAAGCGGAGAGATCCTAGCCAAAGTGAACGAGTATTGCAAGAAACACGTCGATGGTGGTGGTTCTGAAGAAGAACTCAAGATTTGGGACCAAGAGTTCATGAGAAACATCAATCAATCGACGCTTTTCTATCTCATTCTAGCTGCTAATTACTTAAACATCAAAAGCCTTCTTGATCTCACTTGCCAAACAGTTGCTGATATGATCACAAGTAAAACTCCTGATGAGATTCGTACTATCTTGGACATCAAAAGCGATTTCACACCCGAAGAAGAAGAAAAGATTCGCCAAGAAAACCAATGGGCTTTTGAATGATCATATGTTTGTTAGATCATTGTGGATGACTTTGTCTCTTCCTTTCGTTTTATATCGTTTTATTCCAAAGCTTTCGTGATTTATATTCATCCATCATGGTGTAATCGTGCTTCTTTATTTTAATAAATGTTATTTGGCTCAACAAAACATTTTTTAATGGTGCTTTTGTTTTCAAAAAGCGCAGATTATACAAAATATATACGTTGAAAAATCGACAACAAAAATATATGGATAGTTAATAAATAATATGTGAATATGATGTTGTGTTAGTCATGGACGGTGGTAAAAAAGGAAGTTGGTGAAAGAAACTTCACAAGTCAAGAATGAGAGGTTGGTGAAAGGAGTCAAAAATGGAGGTTGATTTTGTTTCAACAATTTTGGCTCACTCATTCACACTTCACCAACTCCTCCTCCAATGTGCTATAAATACATGAGCTCCTCATCATAATCAATCATCCCAA